CATGCTGCTGTAAAAGTTATGGTTTATCTTCTACGTGCTGTTGAATAGTGTTTTGGGCAAAACTCAGACTGTTTCAAAGATTAAAAAGTGTCCTAAAATCACAGTGTTCTACATAAGTCAGATTGACTACATAAACTATCTTATGTTCATTCTAGGTTAGCTTTACAATGACTATTTGCCATCATCTAAGGAAAATTAATACTTCTCTTATTTTCTTTTGTTTCAATTAGCAAATAATAATCAATTTTTTTCTGTGAATCACATGATCCAGCATTTGGTATGGGGAAAAAAAAAAAAAAAACCAAACCAACAGTCCTGTGAGTGCAGAAAAAGCAAGTGAAAAGGAGGTAGTAAAATCAACACAGCTGAAAATCTGAATTTATGTCCATGACCACTCCTCTGGTGGTTTTACCACACATGATTAAAATAATTAGGTATTTTACTAAATTGGGTCCCCTGTATGTTAATACCTGGTGAAAATACTTAGTTCATTGTAACTGTGTTTTTTTAAAAGGGAACTTCAAGTACACCATGCTTCAAAAATGTTAAAATGTTGTGACCCAGTGATTAGTAATCAACAGAAACCCCTTCCTCAGGAATATAATGCTCTGCAGACAAGAGTATGCAGGAGTCTCATCACAGCAAGCCACCACGCTACCATACTTGAGGTACAGAAGCTTGCTTTTAAATTCTAGTCCACTTCATTCTGATWCCATCTTCAAAATACTCTGAAGAAGACAGAAAGAAAAAGATGAAGTTTCTGCCAGACAAAAAATAAGAGACAGAGTAACAAAAAACTATCCCAGTATCCTCTCTTAACCCAACGTACAATGTAAAATGACAAGGCCGGGATGGATGGAGCTCTGAGCAACCTGGTCTAGTGGGAGCTATCCCTGCTCATGGCAGGGGAATTGGAACCAGATGATCCCTTCCAACACAAACCACTTCAAGAAATCGGTGTCATTTGTACATTTTTATGCATTTGAAAATTATAGAAAGGAAAAATATTGCTTATGCAGATATGCTGTTTACTTTGACATTTGCATTGGAACAAAATAAATCCTATGGATTACAGAAGTACATATGACAATGTAGAAGAAACTATTATGTAACATATTTATGTTCTATTGATAGTTCCCTGTATGGAGATTTTAGGTGAGAGACTACTTCAAGACTTCAATGCTAACATAAATGCAATTCTAACCAAAAGATATGGACGATCTTTGTCCTGGGATAAATTTGGGAACTTCATTTAAGAAGTCTTGTAATTTCTAATGTATCTGCAGTAAATCTACCTTAAAAGTTGAATAGAATAAGAAATCTACAGTATGTCTTCCAAATTTCAGAATCAAAAACTTTTCTGAATACCTGAATCTACTGTTTCAAATACGTATTCAGCTAACATTTAAAGTGACATTTCAAAATGAGAAATGTTTTATGGACAACTGTAGTTTAATATATTCAGGATTATGTGATATATTCCTAATACTTTCTAAAACTAAAACCACGTAAAGCAAAGCTTTCATAGGAGAAAAAATCCCTCTGTTTTGCCCTAATTGCAATCGATAGCACATATAATGTACCCTGTTTTCAGAGGGAAATGGGTTGTTACTCATGATTTGTGGTAGGTATTCACCTAAAATCAGTGGTAAACTATATTGCATGCATTAAAAACCCCCAAAAGTGAATCTTAGCTGCTTGTACGTGTATGTACACATATGGATGGGTCTAAAATACCGAGCAAATTCAAGATGCCTACATGCCCACAAGGACAGAAAGGACAACATTCTGTGTTTCATGCAGGAAAGAAGGGTCAGCTCCAAAAAATGCTCAAAAAATTTTGAAAAAYACTTTTTTCCTATCTTCATATTATAGTAGGGTATGTATAAATAGCAGCAAATGGAATTAAAAACTTGCAGAGCTAGAATGAAATTTTTTGCAGCATACACTTTGTCTCTATGCCACAATTCGCTCATGCCACAGCTCCTATGTGTGCTTCTCTTTATGCAATGTATAACACATATATTAAATGGATAACCCACAAACATGGATTTCTGCTGTTTCCATGTTGCCGCAGCCACCACGGCAGCCTTCTCCTGCCCTTTCCTCTGCCTGGGATGTGTCCAGCTCTCAAACCTTGGGCAGACATCCCCAGAGTGACCCACCTATGGCTCATCTTTACTCTTTCATTAGAGCAGAGCATGCCAAACCTTAAATCTGGCTCCAACACCTTTACACATTTTTCCATCCTCTATAGACCTGTCCATTTTGGCCCAAGATAGGTCTGGGCCTATTAGAGGATGGGGTTATGCAAAAAGTGCTGAGACAGACATTTAAAACATCTTCTTGGACGAAGTTTAAACCACCTCATAATGACATCAGTATGGACATCAAAAACCACCCCCAAGTGACATCCCCATGTCCACGCAGGTCTATGGCCATGGCACAGCGACCGCAGAAACGCCACGCGAGGCGAGGGAAAGCAGGAGAGCGGGATGCGATGAGGCGGTGTGGGGACTGTCACTGTGCACAGCAAGGACACTGACCAGCAGCCCCCAAGCGGAAGGGCGATCCGCTCCATCCAGCCCCACCGCCGGCTGTGGGCCATGGGGCCCGGCCCGAATGCGGGAGCGGGATAAAGGGGCGGGAGCGGGATAAAGGGGCGGRAGYGGGATAAAGGAATGAAGGGGTTGGAGCCTACGGGCCCGCCCTCCCCTGCCCGCAGAGGGCGCCGTGCAGCACCGCGCCCGGGCCCGGGTGAGCCTGACCCGCTGCATCGAGCGGCTCCCGCGGAACCCCGGCTGGCGCTGCTCCTCCGCAGCTGCGGACGGTCGGGCCGGTAGGCCAGCGCATCATCCGCAACAGCACAGGCACAACGCGCCGCGCCCCCGCCCTGGCAGGGCGCCCCTGCTCCCGGCCCTGCCGCCCTCAGCGGCCCCGATTCGGGATCGCGGAGCTCCGCGCTCGCCCCGCCGCCGCGCTGCTCGCCCCGCCTCCTCCCGCTCCCGGCCTGGCGCAAAGCACCCCGGGAATTGTAGTTCTTTGTCCCCGACCGAGGCCGGGAGAGCGGCACAGCAGAACTACGACTCCCGGCAGCGCGCGGGAGCGAGGGCGGGGCGGGCCGGGGCGGAGCGGGGACAGCTCCGGTGCTGATCGCGACGCGGGTTTGCCGGCAGAGCCCGGGCGGCGGCGGCGGCTGTCGGCGTGCGGCAGCGAGCGGCGGCGGGCGGGCGGCGGGGCCGCGCCCGGCGATGAGGCACGAAGCGCCCATGCAGGTCGGTGCCCGGTGCCCGGGCCGGGGCAGAGCCGGGGGTGAGGCGGGGCGGTGCAGCCGAGAGCCGGGACGGGGCAGGAACCCCTCCGCCCGGGCCGCCGGGCCGGCTCTGCCGCTGCGGGCAGAGGGTGAGGACACCCCTGGCGTGTGGGGCCCGGGAGGGTGCCCGTGGCGGGGCGGCCGGGCCGCGGGTGGGTTTCGAGGGACACTCGGGCACATCGAACGGTCTTTTTCAGGCACTGCCCATTGAGCTTTCCCGGGGGTGACCGGCTGTCAGCTGTATGAGGTGTACCGAGCTCCTGTCCTCACCTCCGGTGTGTTCAAGGGGCAGCCGCCCACCTCCATCGGGGAGAAGTGGCTGAAGCTGGGGAGAGCAAAGAGGTGCCCCTTTCCAGCAGTTTTTATGTGTAGAAGATATAATAATATCCCTTAGTGCTGGATAGGCGGRTGCCATACAGATACAAGTTACATTAGGCAGAGTTTTTTGCAGTTTCTGGGCTGTTGTCTCAAAACATTTATTTCTAGTGAGCTGTACCTSAGATATTAATTGTGGCCTGTTTTGTCGTCCCACACAGGAGCTCTGGAGTCCCCAGACTATACATTTGAGTACATGTCTCCTTTTCAGTAGAAAAGTGGATTGGTAACAATCATTTTGCAATCAAGTGAAAAGAGCACTTTTGCAGTCTTTTAAATCTTCTGATTTAAATTGTGAACTTAAATCCTGCTAGCTAATGTTTTTCATGCTGGATATCTACTCTGACAGTAATAAAATTTCTGGCTAAGGGAAGATCTGCATCCTTTTGCCTTCTACCTGTATGTGTCAGAAATGTTTATGTGGTATTCTCCATTTATTCACACATTCATTGATCTACTAAAGACATGTTTAGTATGGATGGCTTTGGAGAGCAATGGCTCCAATGGCTCCATTAACTTTGGAAAGCATTTAATTTAAAGGAAATTTTGCTAGTGAAGACCAGTTATAGATTATAGATTGATCTCTACTGCATTTGACATTTTTGAAAGGTTGTTGAATTCACCAAAGTTGTTAAATAGCTGTGGAAAGAAAATGGTAGTATTACATTAAAACATAATCTAAAGAAAAGAGAGTTCAGATATGTCAAAAAAAAATCTCGACAATCAGAGAACAGCTTCTTGGGATTTTTCCAGATTGTCAGAACAAATGGAATTATAGTTAAACATAATTTGTAAAAGTCAGCAGAAACACATCCTCAGAATAAAAAGAGACAACAGAAAACTCTAAACCATCTTATAAATTCCATCTTTTTCAAGACTGCTGACATGGTCAAATGGTGACTATTTTTAAGTTTATCTCATTCAAAATTATAATCATACACAGCTGGATTTTCCCAAAATGTGAAAATGCAGTCTGGCACACAGAGATTGTTTTTCAGATGTAGTTTCTGCAGATTTTTTTWAATTTTATTTCTTCCCCTTAGATTATTTCCTGCATACTCATATATTATTCCTATTAAAGATTCCAGTWAAAAAAAATTCTATTGAGGATTCTTCTTCTGCAGAATCTTTTGTTTTCCAACATTAGGCTAATAGGGTTGAACCTTGTTCAAATAGGGTTTAGGTTGGCTGAACTAATTGCTAGATTTATCTTTTTTTAGCTATGTGATTTTTAGCTGTGTGATTTCCTATTACATGAAATAAATGTAGTTGCTTCTTTGCATACAACAATTTTATGTAATAGTCTGTTACAGAGTGACCATCTATGAATTATAGAGCAAGAGAAAGAATGATCATGAGTTTGTCTTTTGATGACATCGAAAACAACTCAGAGGACAGTGTAAGCATTTTTTTTTTCATTTCCATCAAGCAATAATTTAAAAGAAAACTAAAATGTTAAAATATTTTAGGAGGATGAAAAAAGAACCTGAGCACTTTCTATGTTTGTGAATTTGTCATTTCAATCTCAAGCTCCTGACATTTCTCTGAAGACAGGAAGGGCCAACAAAATACCAGAAAGACAGTCCTGGAAAAGAGTTGCCAGTCTAAATGTTTGTTGCTGTAATCTACTTCGTGTAACTGTATCTGGATCAGAATTTGGCTATTTTTCATTTCTTTAGCCATGTTTTCAAAGAACTGATGTAAGTCTTAGGTGTGCTTATGGCCATSGAGAGGTCTTTAGTTGAGAAGTCAAAAGCAATGAGCTCTCTTTTCTGTGAAACATTGAATTCTGTTTTGTTTCTGCATATTCTTTTAAGAGCTATTCTGAATTACTTGAAATGTCTATGTGTCTCTCTCAATGGTGTCCCTTAGGCTTTTACAGTACTTTCTAAAAGTGATGGATSATTGGGAAATTCTGAGTGATTCATACAATCATTCACTAGCTTCTAGTTTCACTCCTTGTCTGATTGTAACACACAGGTTTTCCACATACATGCACTGTGCCAAAATACATAAAGAAGTGTAGTTTGGATAACCTGTTCTTAGTGTGTATCAGAGCATATGAACCTTAATGGTGGTGGTTTGTAGAAAACACTAGGTCTCTAGAGACACTCTGTTCCACTTGCCAGGACATCAGATCATTTCAAGGGTGGCTGAGGGGAGAGAAAATTAGGAAGCAGGAGATAATTTGTAAATTATCTACCCTGCCAAGGAAAGAAATGAGAGCAATTTTTCTTAGTTTTTCAGATCCTGTTGTCACTGSCAATGGGTATTCTAGACAAGGTGGGTTTGTAACAGACACATCCAAACATGTTGCAGAAGGGCAGTAGCAAGCCAAAAGTCTGCTTACGGATGTTTGAGAGTTATTATAAAATTATGAGGAAAAAAGGTCAATCAAAGCTATTAGACACAGGAGTCTGCAGGACAACTGAGCTCCTGTTACTCAGCAAAATTGTTATATACATCTGTCAGTTCATATTAGCAGCACTGGAGTACAAGAGCCTGCCAAGCCTCCAAGATCATCGAGAAACCTATAAACACCTCTTTGTTACTGATCAAGCAGCATCCAGAATCTGTAGTCCTCTTTCTGTCACTCGCCCCTCTTGGGAGTGTATTGTGGAAGCTCATTCCCTTTCTGATTAGACACTTACTAATCTCCAGCTCAGAGGAACTCAGGGCTAGTTTATACTGTTGTTAAATCCAGTGTCTGCTCCAGTATACATCAGTCTAAATAGTTCTTATTTCCTCATGACCAGATTACTATCCAGAGAAACAAGCTTGTGTTTTGTTTACTGTTTTTTTGTTTGTTCACTTTTATTTCTGCCATAAAATAAGCTCTTCTTCTAATCTTCCAGTTAACCTTTCTGGGTGTTTCTGAGTTTGAACATGGCTTTCAAACACACTTGACCAGAATTGTCACTAATGCTGTCTCACCAGTGCCCTAGACAGTGGCATTAGTATTTCGCTTAGGCTCTTTGCCTGATGCGGCTTTGGCAAACAAAAAGGTGCACAGTCTTTCCTAGTCTCATGACCCTGAGTGCTATACTAAATAGAGTAAATGGCAGAAGGCTTTTGCCATCTCTTCTGCTTCCTTTCGTATTCCCGGTAGATCTAAATTTATTTCTCCTGGAGCACCTGGCCTGACACAGCTTTTACTTTTCCTTTTCAGAGCTGCACTATTTTGGCGGCCTCTTGACATCCTGTATTAGTCTAACCCACTTAGGACAGTATCTCTGGTTTTGCCACTATTTGGAAAAGGRGATTGTAACATACTGCCTAGAGAAATGTGCTTCATAAGCTATCCTTTTCATGGAGAAAGTAAATTTAGGTTAAAGAAAGAGAAATGAGGGATAATTCCCTAGATCACCACAARAATCCAGGTCTTAGGGCCTTGCCAAAACTATTTTTTACTCACCTTAAATTCTACTGTCCTGTGCAGCTCCTAGCAGTGTGGCCATATTCATGCTAGTTCTGCTGATATGGAGCAATTAGAGCTTTTCCGAAGTTGTTTAGACCTACCATCTCAGTATGTTTTTAATGTYCCTCAATGCATTTCAGCGTTCTGCCTAAAAAAAACCCCTTTGCATTTCTACCTACATGTATCTGACTGGGCTGTGAAACATACACATATACATGATTCTGACCTCATAATACCTTGAAGCAGATAAGCTTCTCCTGATGCTGCCAAGTACATTAGTTTACAAGCTGTGCTCTGCAGATGGCTGGCAGTCAGTAAATTCCAAATAAGTGGCCAGTGCATTGTCTGCTGAACTCTATTAATTCTTATTAATTGGTCAGTTAAAAATAAATGATAAGGATTTGTGAGAATTGACTGTGGTTTTCCATCTGTGGATATCAATGTATTTTCTAAGGTCACACCAAAAATACAGCAGCTTGCCCAAGATGTAAAAAAGAAAACAAAAGTTATAGGATCCCTTTGAAAGAGTTAAGAATAAAAGCCAGTCCCTAGATTAGCCTGATATTTTAACATARAAGTAATTATTTCTTCATGACTGGCTTAGACTGGGTTTTTTTGTCACAGTGTTCTTATATATAAGGATTTTGGTAACATTTTAACTACTCTGATGATATAATTTGATCTACACATGAAAGACAACTAATGTGCAGTGAATGTCACTCATGCATTCTGCATACTGTTTGGTGGGTTACAATTATTTAATTTTTCCACCATATTTCATTGTTTTAGTATCCATTGATTATGTTTGACTAATTATATTTTACAAAAGAAAGAAAGATAACCTCCCAAAAGACTGCATGTGCAGGAAAGTCTGTTTTTACTAAAATATCAACTAAAGTCAGTTTCTGCTTAGAAAGAAATGGAAATGTATATATTTCTACCCTGTTTGTAGGAAAGAAGCATTGCTCCTTCCACTGTGACTGTATAAACACTTGTGTTTCAGTGAATGTCACTCATGCATTCTGCATACTGTTTGGTGGGTTACAATTATTTAATTTTTCCACCATATTTCATTGTTTTAGTATCCATTGATTATGTTTGACTAATTATATTTTACAAAAGAAAGAAAGATAACCTCCCAAAAGACTGCATGTGCAGGAAAGTCTGTTTTTACTAAAATATCAACTAAAGTCATTTTCTGCTTAGAAAGAAATGGAAATGTATATATTTCTACCCTGTTTGTAGGAAAGAAGCATTGCTCCTTCCACTGTGACTGTATAAACACTTGTGTTTCAGTGNTAGAAAGAAATGGAAATGTATATATTTCTACCCTGTTTGTAGGAAAGAAGCATTGCTCCTTCCACTGTGACTGTATAAACACTTGTGTTTCAGTGCTGTTTCAGTCTAACCTGACCAAAGGGATCTATTAAAGAGGACTTCAGTTACCCAACTTTCAGGGATGGGCTGTAACAACACTGGATAGAAAGAAAGTGTTGTACTTTGAAACAACTGTAAATCAGTGTCTATCTGTCCTTACTGTAGATACAAGCAAGACATTTTCTCTGGACTAACCAGTGATCTTTTCCTTTAAGTCATGCTTATTATTAGAGTTTTTAACAGAAAACAATGTATTTGCTAAAGGCATGAAAAAATGAATCTCAGCATTTTCAGTCGCAGGTTTTGTTGCCTTTGGCATCATATTTTCCAGGGGCAATTCATCCTGCACTAAGCATCCAGAGTGGGGTGCTTATATAAGTGCAAACTGAAGTTGTGTGCAGGCCAGGGAGATCGGCATCCTGCTSTGCTGAAGTAAAATGAGGTCTGCTAAAGCATAAGAGTAACATAGCCAAATGTTTTGTTATGATTGTGAAAGTCACAGGTAAACAGAGTTTTTATAATATTTGTTCTCAACCCTGCTCTGTTGCCACCTCTTTTGGGATCAAAGAAACAACTGAGCATAAAGCTTGGAAAGTACCTGGGTCTGATATAGAAGACTCTGCTTAATGCCTTTAAATAATCCATATTTAGAGATGTGCTGTAAGCAGGGAAGCATGCAAAACTATCTATTTTTGTCCTTGCACCATATTTAAACTAAAAACATAACTCCTATTGACTTTGATAGGGAGCAAGCATGTGATATCTCCTATTCTATAGGTTTTTTTCTTCATTGTCTGTGCTTGGACTTTTCAGTGGACTTTTAAGTCTTAAGTCCTCTAGGAGATGGCTTGAGACTGTTCCTGGTACTAATGAAAATAATCTTGTGCACTTTCTCTTCAATTTCACTAAATAAGGGCAAAGCTGTGAGGAGAAAATTCAGTGTGTTTTGTTGAAAGTGATGCTCATTTAATATATCCATTTAACCTTTGAGAAAAGAACTTTGTCAAAATAAGGGTATGTGTTTTACCTCATTGGAAGCAGAATATCATAATATTAGCAAGTTTTTTTTTGTTCTCATCCATGTATGTAGTGTTTAATTGCATTGGGAACACAGTATTCCTAGTGATTGCTTCCAACATCGTTTCCAAAGGAGGAGCATAGCATCAGCACTAGTTTCATATTTCTTTTACAAATGCCTCCATTATTAGCGATAAGTACTATCCAGAATGAATGGACATGTTAATACCTTAGGAATTGGATTACAGTGCATCCCATACTTAATATTTAAGTGAGCAGCTTGCATTTAAGAAAGAGAAGCACTGCAGGCTTATTCAAAATGTTCAAGAGGACCAAGCATCTAGATTTCCCTAACAGTCAGCAAAAATATAGCTATTCCTTTGGGATATCATTTAGACAGTGACTGTAATGTGGATTGTGCTTGGAAGAATTTGCCTCTTTGCTTACCATGGAAGGAATGAGTTTAGGAAGTAATAGCAAAGTCAAACTAATAGCAACTACACTGAGTTTGCTGTTTCTTCACAGTAGTGCAGGCTCATTTGGGTTTTGGACAGGAGAAAGGATCACTATCAGTAGTCTAGGGAGACTGGCTCTCTAGGCTAAAGTTAGTCTCTCCAAACAGAGAATTACCTCACTAATTTTCTTGGAGAAATTAGTCCTATCCTATGCCTTTCCCATGCCTTTTGCATCCTGTAATAAGCAAACTCCTGCCCTTGAAATGAAAGGTGACTTCAATTCTGTATCCAACATACTTGTAATTCTGCCTATGATGCTGCAAATAATGACTCCATAAGTTCATGGTATAGTTAAGGTGYTGGGYTTTAAATTTTTTTTTAAATAAATGTTCAGGAAACTATTGCTTGGGTAATGTATACAACCACATTAATTAACCACATTTAGAGGAGGCCTGAAATTTCTGTGGGTAAAGTCTGTGTTAAAACTCTCCACAGGAAACAAATTCTTACTCAGGAAGGCTACACAATGTACATGGTGTAGCAGGACTATTATTAGAATCCAGGTCTCCTGATTTCTCTGCTCACTGAATCATACTGTTTCTGAAGTGTTAGGCATTAAAGTACATGGGGATGAGTCGTAAGCTTCAGAGGACTCAAGGCAGCAAATGGATGAAAGCTAAAACTTCTTTTTGTAAATCTTAAGCTGGTTGACGAAGCTATGTGAAAAGCTTCCTAGGAGGTAAAATCAAGAAAGAATATGATGTTCCTTCTTTCTGCAAGTGGTAACTGCAGCACAACAGAGAGGAGCCAGAAGGGTAGTGGAGCAGGCTGCTGTGGTTGCACAATGGCACCCACAGCCACTGCAGTCTTTTGTCTGATGGACTTCATTGACTTGTTGTTGCAAACTGGAAGCACAAGGTCAGCACGCCCTGCCTTATACTGCTTTATAGAAAGTTGTCAGTGGACTGGTATAAACAATAAATATTAAGGCCAATGCCAACACTCAGGTTTCAAGCATGTAGGTGCCCAACAATGCATTTAATAAAGAAAGTAATTCTGAAATCTCAAATACTCCCATTTATGAAATATAAATCTGACATTGCATTTTCTATTAAAAGCTTACTATTCCAATGTCTTCTTCAGTACGTTTTGTCCTCAGTCCTATATGCATCTTCACTAGACCAGAGAAGTTGGCATACTGTTTTTGGTGCTATGAGATAGCAGAATTAACTCGAAACAATTACACAGTAACTAAAGTTCTACTGTGAGGGTGGGTTAGTGAACAGCCCTCACCCTGCATTCCCATATGCATTCTGAGATGCCTAATTTAAAAAGTTTTTAAATAAACTGCTTTTCTGGAATCCTTTATGTTTGGTTATGGTGTCTATCTTTGTGTCTCAAATCAGCATGCACAAGTGTTGTTCTTAGAATAATCATATTCCAAAAATCTCCACAGGCTCTCAAAATACTTGATTTTTTTTTCTGAAAAACTTAGATTAAACCCTCTAAGTTCTTTATTTTTGCCATTTGTATTTTGAGCAGCCTGGGTAGAATTTTGGTCAGGTTTTCACATTAATCTCTGCAACTTTCCTGAAAGCCCATTCCTTTTATAAATGGAATTGATGACCTTTGAAGTCCCTAGAGGAAAAAAAAGGCTGCTCTTTAACAGTATTCAGTAATCTGTGCTTATTCAGGTGTTTTATATGGATAAAAAACTGTATTTTAAGGACTCAGACTTCAAAATGTTRATGTCATCCAGACGAACCTTGACACAGTTGAGGGGTGAGCCCCTGCAAACCTCATGAATTTCAACAAGACCAAGCACAAGGTCTTACATCAGAGTCATGACTGTTCCAGACAYACCAACAAGTTGGCTGGAGTAGTGATTGAGAGCAGCCCAGAAGTGAAAGGCTTGGGGGTAATGGCTGATGATAAACTTACCATGAGTTGGCAAAGAGTGCTCATAGCCCRAATAACCAAGGGAATCCTGGGCTGCATCCAAAGGAGTGTCGCCAGCAGGGCAAGGGGAGGGATTGTGCCCCTCTGCTCTGCGCTGGTGAGACCCCCACGTGCAGTGCTGCATCCAGCTCTGGTGCCCCCAGCATTAGAGGAACAGGGAACTGCTGGAGCAAGTCCAGAGGAGGCCATGAAGTTGATAAGAGGACTGGAGATCCTCCTGTTTGAGGACAGGTTGAGAAAGCTGGGGTTGCTCAGCCTGGAGAAGAGAAGGTTGTGTGGGGATCTCACAGACACCTTCCAGTATTTGAAGGATCCTGCAGGGAAGCTGGAGAGGGTCTCTGACAGGAACTGGAGTGACAGGACAAGGAGGAATGGGTACACACTGAAAGAGGGCAAATTCAGGCTAGGTATCAGGAAGAAATTCTTTACTCTGAGGGTGGTGAGACACTGGAATAGGTTGGCCAGCGAGATTGCAGATGCCCCAACCTTGGTGGTGTTCGAAGCCAAGTTAGATAAGGCTTTTAGCAACCTGGTCTAGTGAAAGGTGTCCCTGACAGGGGGTTTGAGACTAGACTTTAATGTCCCTTCCAACCCTTAATATTYTATGATTCTATTATTCTAACTGCCACTTGTGATGATGTTGCATTAATATGAAAATTTCAAAAAACAATAGAACATACTCATATTGAGAAAAAATCAGGACTTTATTTCAGACCTGTATAATCTTACTCTTTAAAGATATGATAACTAAAATTTGAAAAGGCAAAATGCTTTGAGTAAGTTTATACCCATGACAAAGGATAGCAATATATTTACAGTAAAATAAATTGTTCAAGAATTTTAGTAGATGTAAAACTTAGTAAATTTCTGTTTGGAAAAGGACCTACTGTGTCAAAATGCAGCATTGATCTCTTATTTCCTTGTCCAAATGAAATGTCGTATTTTCACCATCTATTCATCACATCTGAAAACAAATATTTTCAGTGGCATGCTCAAGAACTGTCCTGGATTTTTAACATTCTTGCTGTTTGTTTTCATACTAGTCACTAGGCATATTTACATCTTCTTTTGCTACGAGAGCTACTACTAGATACAAGAATCAGAAAAAAAAATTCTTGAAGTTCACACTGATGTGTGCACATTACTAATCTTTCAGGAAGATATTCTTCTTAAACTTCATTGATACATGGTATGAAAAACTCCAATAAAATCTAAATGTTTCCTGTTTTGTATGATAAAAGAAACAATAAAATATTTTTTTCTTTTGAATTACAGATGGCATCCGTTCAAGATTCCAGATATGGCCAGAAAGATACATCTGACCAGAACTTTGATTACATGTTCAAACTGCTCATTATCGGCAACAGCAGTGTTGGAAAAACCTCCTTTTTATTCCGATATGCTGATGATTCCTTTACATCTGCATTTGTAAGCACGGTTGGGATCGATTTCAAAGTCAAAACGGTTTTCAAAAACGAAAAAAGAATTAAGCTACAGATTTGGGTAAGCTAAAAAATGATTCTGTGAATTAAGCAAATTGTAGTAGTTTTGATAGCATTTACACAAGTGAAGGTTTGCATCGAGTGTCATAACCTTATATGTATATATAGAGAGAGCATAGGTATGAAATAGCAGTTAATTATTTCTTGTATCATTTTTCTGTCTTGCATAACAGAGTGCAAACAGTATTTTTAAGGTATTGAAGTATAGTGATTATATATTATGAATTAAATTCCTTTAATGAATAATACAGGCTGACACATTAATATCTGTACAGTAAGATGTAAACCTGTGCAATATGTAGACTATTGAGAGTGATACATGTTATATCAAAGTACCTTGAAATACCTGTTTTAGGATTTGATGTCTTCCCTTAAAAGTTATTAATTCATGTAGGAGGTATCATAGTAGATCCATAATAGAAGGCATAACTTTTTTCTTAGCTATTTATGTCATCCTGATAACCTGAAACACCTTCTGTCTTCTGCTAAGGAAGAAAACATGTGCAAGGAGATATTGTTACCCAGGCATACAGAATTCCTCATTCCTTGCCTGTGCCTTAGAGACAGTAGAAAGATGCCCAGTGGAAAAAAAGAAGATGCCTGGGAAAGGTTTCCTTTTGTGTAAACTCTGATAAAAATAAATGATAGACAAAACTTATTCCATAGAATCATAAAACATCCTGAGTTGGACGGGATCCCACTCCTGGCCCTGCCCAGGACCAATCCAACAGTCACTCCATGCGCCTGACAGTCCTGTCAAAACCTTCTTGAACTCTGGCACACTTGGTGCCGTGAACATTTCCTGGGGAGCCTGTTCCAGTCCCCAGCCACGCTCTGGATGCAGAACCTTTCCCTAATATCCTGCCCTAACCTCCCCTGRCACAACTCCAGGCCATTCCTCAGGCACTGACCTCTTCTCACGCACAGAAGAGGTCTCTGTCTGCCCCTCCTCTTCTCCTCATGAGAAAGATGTAACTGCAACGAGGGCTCCCCTCAGTCTGTTCCAGGCTGAGTAAACCAAGTGACGTGAGCTGTCCTCATATGGCTTCCCTTCAATGTCCCTCACCACCCTTGTGCCCCTTGGGATGGTCTCTAATAGCTTTGTGTCCTTTTTGTGCCCAAAACAACACACAGGACTTGAGGGGCGGCCGCCCAATACAGAGCAGAGCAGGACAATCTCTTCCCTTGCCTGGCTGTGCCTGGTGCACCCAGGACAAGGCTGGATTTAGTATAGATTCACTGATGCTTACATCTCCTCATTCTTGGGTGATAGGGTGGTACTAAAAGGAGAGGGAGGGGTAGCAAGACCTTTAATAAYGTGAAGTAAAAGTTTTGAGTCTTCCTGGGATGCTTGAGGATTTTGAGCAGTGTTTCCTTTGTGAAAAATTTGTAACAGCCTTAAACCATGGCATAGAGGGCATGTAGCAGCTGTATTCTCCCCAGTTCTAGCAATATATGTATTTTGTTGTTCTTTGTATGGCATTAGCATACAGATCCAAACAGGCTCTGACAGTCCTTGACTGAGAAAACTTGCAAACAAAATGATTGAAACAAACCCAAGAGCTGTCTGTCCCTTAGGGAAGAGGAAACAGAGGTTCAGAGCATAGAACAGACCTTCCTGCTTCGTGAAGAGTCGTGTGCCAGGATGTAGGGTGAGAGACAAGGCTATCACACTTTGATACGAATGGTTTTTACTCCAGCCGGCACTGAATCTTTATTTGTGTTGGTGGTTGTTTAGTTATTTTATCCCCCTAAATTTCTAATGCCAGTTCTTAAAAGGCCTTGTCATTGCCAAATTATCTCAAATTGCGACAGCTCACTTATAGCTGTCTGTGCTTTTTAGATGAAATGTTCTGCTTGGGACCGTTGCGGTGAAGCTTGCTAGTAAATCCTTTGATTGTTGTACCTCTGAGACCTTCAATGAAATCAGTAAGGGATCTCAGAAAGCTGTTCTAGTGCACAAAATCTGAAACAGAACGATATTACCCCATTCCTAAGTTATAACAAGAACAGAATTGTTCTTAATAGGCATTGCCTATATATGCAACTCATGTCTATATTATACTTCGTTATTTTTATTGGAAATTTCAAATGACTTTCTAAATGAATAATACTCATGCAATATACATTGCCATTTCATTCCTTCATTTATGAAAGACAATTTATATTAGATAAAGTGTAAAATTGATTGAATCATAGTGAGTGTAATTTGATTTTAATTCTGAGCAGAAATATCCATGAGGTTATAACACTTCCCTCAAAATCAGCGACAAACTATTTGGTGGCATTGTGCAATGGATGATGTCCAGCACATAGGAAATAAAATATTACTGAAAATATCATGGTTTTCTAAAGTCAGAAGACTGAAATTGCAACTTTAAGATGTGTCCTGAATGACAAAATCAGAACTGAATTACTTTACCATGCCCTTAAGAAATACACAGAATAATGCTGCTCTGCTGTTCCTGCTTTACAGTAAAATGCAGAAATATGTAGATTGTAGTACTGTCCAGTCACTAATATTCCATATCTAGAGACACAATTAATCACATGTTTGTCCTGTTATGATTTTGTCCATATTCTTTTAGGTTGAACATTTAAAATTTCTCTTTAATGGTGCTTTCAACAAGATATTTTGTGTTCAACATGAAGTCTGTTGGAGCTTGCAGAGTTTGTTTGAAGTTAGTAAGGACACTCAAGGAAGCAGAGTCCTTATTTAGTAATAAAATTCACAGTGTGTTTATCACAGATTAAGTAGGAAGGATTATCAGTTTGAGCTGGGTACTCTTTGCATCCTGGGATGCCCTGCAAGTCTTTTTTTCATTTGAGTCTTTTTCTAGCTTGGAGGCTAAAGTGTTTTATTCTTGAACTGTCTTCTTTGATTTTTCAAGTCAGGGAGGATGAGGCTCAATCTAGTTCTTGCTGTTACGTCATTTTCAAATGGACAGAAAGAGCCTGCTGGGAGTACTGTAACATTTGCTTCTTTTCCTTCTGAGCCAAACACCTTCTTTCCACAATATTTACTACTGAAATGTAGAGAAGTTCAGGGTTCAAGTTCTGTATTGATTAGTGGTAGTACACTACCTTGTCATAGGACCACCATCTGGCCCTCAAATTTTGTTTCACAGCACATAAGTGTGACAATCGGCTATGGACATTAGGAAGACGGAATATTAACATGTCTCTTACCTTTAAGAGGACAGCAAAAAAAAAATCTTGCTTTACCTAAAAAGGTATTAATTTCTCCTTTGAAACTATACATAAAAATGTGTAAAAAATTGTGTCTGTATGCAGCATATAAGTACACAGGATAAAAGTCCACTATAGCTCTTTAGGATATTTTAGAGTGTCAAATAATAAAAAGCAATTTATTTTTTCTCCATTTGGTTTGAACTAGTAATATTAAAGGAAAGACTTGGAACTAGAAGGCTTATAAGATTTTCTCACTTTAAAACTTAAGTTGAATTTAAAAAAAAAGACTTGTCAGTATTAATTCACACAATAATACATTCCAACTAAGTCTGTTAAAAGCTMAAAGGTGTGTAAATCAGAAAACAAAAATGAGAACCTTGGATCCGGAGATGTCTATCTCTAGCTACAAAGGTTTGCATTACTTTTATGAACTGTCAGTTGTAAAATAGAAATAACAGCCTGAAAAGGCTTATGGACAAATATAGGCTAATTTGGACAGTAGAATTTGTTAGCTAACATGTCAAAATAAACCATATAATAGGGACAAAAAAACAAGGATAAATAAAGTCCATATACTGACTCTGAGAATAAAGAATAAAATTTGCAAAGAAGGGTCATCATATTTAACTGACAGTTCATCCGTACCATCATATCCATAACCATCTTTGGCTCATTAAAAAAATTTACTTGACCAGACCTCTCAGTGATTTCAAACTGATTTCAGTACAAATTTTGTCTGAGAACTGAAGTATCAAGTTTTCCCTATGTGATCTGTTTATTGCACAAAAATGTTTTAACTGCATTCGTGCAGCTATATCTTGTTGTAGCTCTCTGGTGCAAATATCAAATAAGAGCACTGCACTGCTTTTCTCTGTGACTAGGCAGACACTTCAAGGACTGGGTGTAATAATCACATATAAAGATATCCTCCTAGAGAAGAGAGGATAAGAGCTGCTTGTGTCAGCACATCCTTCTTAAAAGTGTCTGTGACAGTTTCATTYGATACCCACAATGTTGCTGTCTTCATGTCAACGTTTTCTATAAATTATGAGGGTGCTTAGGGACTAAGTGAGGGCTAGGTTTTATAAGCTACTGAGAAAATGCAGTGTCATCATTCAATAATTAAAACTATGGCAGCTGTTAAAAAAAAATCTATAAATACTAGGCACCTGATTATGTTCTCTACAAGCTTCCTAACAGTCCTTTAGCAGTAAAAAAAAAATCAGATAAAAATAAAATGATTGTGTGTGTGTTTTTGAGTGTGTGTGTGTTTGTGTTAAAAAGGTCTCTATGAGTATGAATATGCATTAAATTGCCTTGATATTGAAGTCTTTGGGGGGGTATCCTGCAGTAACTTAAAAGTGTGGACCCAGTGCAATATGGCAGAAATACTCTGTAACAGTGACTGGCACTGCAAGAATCAGTTCAAGAATCACTAAGTGCACTGGTTCAGAAGAAAGATAGTGGAAGCTGGGGCAATACAAGTAGAGATGGAGTTGCATGTGGAGAAAGAGGGTAGCAAATGTAATAAATGTGTCATCATAAAATTTTCAGGTCCTGACTATCGCATCTGACTTGTCTGAGTGTTTTTAATTCCTGTGATAGCCACTGCAAAGTATATTTCATTACTCTTTTGTCACYTGCTGGTGACAATGTGTAGCTACTGCTTTGCATACATGTTTTTAGATGAGGATAATAAATCTAATATTGAAAGTGAAACCTCCTCAGCATGAAAATCAAATATGCATACTGTTATACATCAGAAAAAGTGATTTGAAGAGAGTAATATAAATTCATAGGATGTGCTGA